CAGGTCTCTCGGTCAGTAGAATATTAGTCCGAAAGGGCTATTGGATCACCATCTGATAGGCAGGCCTCTCGGTCACTAGAATATTAGTACGAAGGAGCTATTAGATCACCATCTGATAGGCAGGCCTCTCGGTCACTAGAATATTAGTACGAAGGGGCTATTGGATCACCACCTGATAGGCACGCCTCTCGGTCTTCGAGAGGCACGACCGCTATGCTCCCCACCCAACGGAGCCGCGTCTGCAGAGAAGGAAGACGCAAAGAAAGAGGGAAAATGGGAGACACACAGCTCTGCTGTCAATCGATCCCCTCGCTCACATGAGCTAGCACAAGATCCGCCCCCCTTACTCCTGGGTCGACATACTGTATGTCATAAAAACAGAGGGAGAAACAAACAGTGAGAAACACGGAAAGAGAGAGTTCTGCTTGAGATCAATCCCTCGACTACCAACAGCTGGCGAAACCACGCTACCTTCTTCCCCCGAATACAACGTACGGTCATCATAGCTGTATTTGAGGCATTTTTCAGTCTAGATACAGTTATAATGACCGTACGTTGTATTCGGGGGGAAGAAGGTAGCCACCCCTTCTCCCTCCTGCCAGCAAGGGGAATCGATCGGCCTATTAATCGATCGTGAGACATCCGAAAATTCAAAAAAACAGGCAATCATCCTCATCAAAGACCATCATGAGCGAATCCGAACGAGCCTGGTGGACGAAGGATCTCGACCCGTAACACTCGACAACGGGTAAATCACCACCGTCGATTTCGTTGGATTTCAGTCATCAAGCTCTCGTCGCTCACCGGCCATCCCGCTGCAACACGTACATGTGTTTTGATCACCGCAGAATTGACACGTGTGGAGCACACAATCACCATCATACCTGCCTAGCCTTCGACTCCCCGAAACATTTCGTCGCTTACTACGCTAGTCTGATTACATCGACATTAAATCAAATCCTGAGGCGAAGACGCCATGGCCCAGCATGGGGTGCAATCCCCAACCAACAGGAGACCTGAAGCAAAATCCCTACACGTTGTAACAGCGCATGTAAGATCTCTCCTTAGGTAAGATCTCTCCTTAGGTCTTTCCGCGAGCCGAACGAAACACGTCTCTTCTACGTTCTACGCTCTTCTCCCAAACAAATCCACCTCGCACGTCTTTTTTTTCCAATCAAATCCACCGCCTCGTCATAACCGATAAACGGCAATATCGATTCCTCACTACTGCCTTCACCCAAGTAGAACGCCCAGTCATTACAGCCGTATTTGGGACAACATTCCAGATTACAGTGACAATGACCGTGCGTTCTAATCAGGTGAAGACGGTAATAATAATCATTACTAGTTATAAAAGAACACGTCCGATCGGAAGGATCTTGCACGCAACGATACTACGGGCTTCGCCGCACTACTCACCAGATGCACAAGAGACAAAAATTAAGGCAGTGCATCTTTCTATGTCCTAACGGAAGATTCGTTCTTATTTTGCACATTTGGTGAGTGCTGGGGCGAGGCCCTACTTCTCCCGACACTTACGCAAATCCTTATTTCTTGCGCTTATGACAACGATTGATAAACGCGAGGATGGAGGAGTCTGAAAGTGCGGGAGAAGGGGGCGGGGGGGGGGGGGGGGGGGGGGGGGGGGGGGGGGGGGGGGGGGGGAAGGAGGGAGGGGAGCGCCTAAGTGGGTACATGAGGACGAATGCTACCCTGACAAAGCTCTCGTCATTACCATGAAACTTTTAAGCAAGCCTTCACCACTCTCGGCAAGAACGGGACGACGTAGACAACAGCGTTGATCGTCTGTCTCTACTTACTACTCGATTAGCAGCACATCTCGCGGCATGTCAGGAGTAACCTTTGGCTCTGTGTCGTACTGCACATGCACACAAGCCATTCGATGCCTACGATTGGCCCTCCCTTCTTTGCAATCACCCTGTCTACTTACTACTCGATTAGCAGCACATCTCGCGGCATGCCAGGAGGAGTAACCTTTGGCTCTGTGTCGTACTGCGCATGCACACAAGCCATTCCATGCCTACGATTCCCCCTCCCTCCTTTGCAATCACCCTGGGACGCCGGATGACCAGAGGCGGGACGGAGAAGCCATGTCCTCTCCAAATCCATCACGACTATGCCAACACCAGTGAGCAAAGACGACGGCTATGGAAACGAGAGGAGGGCCAAGAGAGCAGAGAAAGTGTAATAAAAATGAGCGAGAACGACAGGAAGTCTGACTTGTCTCACACCCGCAACCACGTAGATTGCGCTCTCACTACACATAGACGCTGAAAGACTCGACGGCATGATGGCAGCATATGCAGATGCAGCCCGCACACAGACACAACTAGACCAGAGGAGAACGAATAAACACCGGGGGCTAGGTCCCACTTACACGAATTAATCGATATTGACCGTAGATAGCAAAGATCAACGGCCAGAATCTCTTAATCCGTGCAAGTGGGCCCTTGCCCCGGGATGCATCAGGTTCCGCGATCACACTCTACCTCCGCCACTGGGCTAGGTCCTTTGTGTACTTCGGGGAGGACATCCGTTAACCTTCGAACGATACAGAGACTGAAGATTAACATGGCATGGCCTCTGCGCAAGGATGACACGCAAGCATAAATCGAAGAAAAACGCGGGATGGATGTTCCCGCCAACGAAGGATGAAAGGCACATTGACCAGGGGCTAGGTCCCACTTGCACGAATTAAGAGATACTAACCGTAGAGATAGCAAAGATCAACGGCCGAAATCTCCTAATTTGCGCAAGTGGGACCTTGCCCTGGTGGTGACGAACGTACCGCTTGGAGGGCGATCGTCGGTTGACCTTCTTGAATCTTCTGACGAGCGAATGCCAAAAGAGAAATCATACTCTCCATCTCTCTTGGGTAGGGCTGCAATAGCCCCAGCAAGGGGAGAAGCGCCCCCCAGCAACACCACTCTCCTCCGATTTACGTTGTCTCCCGCCCAAATGCACCTCGGAAATGGCGCTACACAACACAATACGATTTCGAACCAAGCTACTTCCCTCCTCTCCGATTTGCGTCGTCTCCCGCCCAAATGCACCTCGGAAATGGCCCCGAATTTTTCACCAACAGCTGCTGGCTCCCTCTCAGCGGGACGCAACTTCGTGGCTCCAATACGAGACGCCACCCACGATCACACCCGCCGGCCTCTCATACAGCTGATGAGCGCCGCAGTGGCAACTTCACCAGCGAACGTGGGATTCTCATACACCGTTTGTCCTCAAACCTTACTCTGAATCTGTCATCGCCCTGTCATCGCCGCTACGCACTTCTTGCATCACAATCTCTCCTCGTAATCAACTAAACGAATTATAAGAAAAAACGGAGTACGAGGAGATCGCGCCGAACGACGGGGACCCAGCCGAGTTCTACCAACATCCCGACAGGTCGGGTGCGTCACCGGAAAACCAGATTAGGCAGCGTCTGAATCCTTCGAGGGGATATCGTTTCGGTTATCTCAACTGCGGGGACCCGGACCCGGCCGGGTTCTACCAACATCCCGACAGGTCGCGTGCATCACCAGAAAACCAAATTAGACAGCCTCTCGAACCATCGAGGGGATATCGTTTCTCTTTTTTTTTGCTTTTTTTTTCACATACATTTATATTGCATCAAAAGATAGAAATAGAATGGAAACCTGGTTCCCGAGGGTGGTAGCGGTCCAAGGCGCTTCGACCGGCGCCGCCTGTTGTTTCAGCAGGCCTGACCGGCGACAGATGTTTCCGGCGTGGAACCTTAGGCGCAGGTGGTAGCTCAATGTGTTCGTGTTGACGAAGACCTCTGGCACTCGCCATTGAAGACCAGCGGTTAGAGCTTGCCGCCATCACCTACCCACCAGAGTGACATCTAGAGAGAGTAAGACGTTCAGAACTTTCCCCTTCAATTTAGAAGGGTTGTTAACGAAAATTGGACAAGATGGAAGCTGGGCAAGCCCTGCAAGGTGAAAGAGAAGGAAGATCCCAAGTTCCAAGCGACTATCGCCTAAAAGAGGAAAGGGCGAGAGAGATGATAAGAGCATGTTACGAGGAATGTATTCTGCCAACGGACATCGATCCGGGGGAGATGGAGGTTACTAGGAGAGAAGTCCATTTTATCTTGAATACCACGTTGGACGAGATCAAGATAAAATGGTTGAAGGAAAGAGCGGTCACCGACATTTTTCGAGAAGGTGCCCGTTTCTTACCTAAAAAAGTGAAGGAGGACGTGATAAGAGCATACGAAGATGTATGGATGCAGGACGAGGTCTTTGGACAAGACTTCAAGCGAGGAAGAATTAAGGTGGAGAGCCCTAATGTGGTATCGTATTTCCCAAGGGCGCAGGAGATTACATATTGGATGATTCGGAAGAACTCAGACTACATCGGCCTAGCAGGCACGACGTACAGAACAGAGTTCAAACCGTGGCTGACACGTGCCGAGACTCAAGACTGGAGATGACTAATCGACCAGGACATCTTCTGGGTCGTGGCGGTGGGAGTACTTTTGGATGAAATGTCGTTTTTACATGTGCACATGGAGAAGGCTATTGGCAAGGTAGTGAAGCAACACAAGCCAGAAGCGAACGAGTCGGACCCAAAGTTGGTGAACCTCAGGTTTGATATCGATCCAACACATCGTGCGAATATGAAGGATAAGATTTCGGTTCAAACCTGTCAAGGCGACGTGCTGGAGGTGAAGATCGCAAACTGAATTGTGTAAAAGGTGTAGAACCTTCTTCCACACAGCGCTTACATGTCGAAGAACCGACCGTCGTAATCAAGGAGGAAGTCGTTCGAGTCAACCACAAGCTGCAGCGGCACCAAAAGCAGCGGAACCGAGACCAAGTTACTCAGGGCCACTCAATGCACCAGGAGCCTTGGCTGCACAGTTACCAACGGGGGGTCAGCAGGTAGCCGGAGGGTCGAACGTCCTAGGAGGTACCTCAATCCGGCTGAATTCAGCTTTCTCTCCGGGTGGGAATCCCCCACATCTCCAGACAGGATCACGCTTGGCCCAGGGCCAACCGGGTTTGTCAACACATGCAATGGAAGCTACTTGGCTGGCTTATTTGCAGAATCTCCCGTCTCATCCATTTGTTTCGACTCCCTTTGAATGCGCAATTAGGGATGAGCCCCTCGTTTGCCAACCTGCATGCCTTTGCTCCGTGGAACCAAGGTGTGTCAGGGATGGCACAGGGCAACCCATCGAATGTGCCGGATCACCATGCTTTTGCCTCAAGCCTCCATCCGCAGGGGACGCCAGTTAATCAAGCCTCGGTCGGGCACCTACACTCAAGTCAGAGTGGATTCCGTCTACGTGGGGAATCTCCAGGTAAGCAGCGAAAAATAAGCGATACGGGCATCGACATCTGCGTTGATGAACTGAGTGTTAAAGCATCAGGTAATTCGGCCTGCTCGCAGCCACCGTCCTCCTCCACAGGTAAGTGAAAATCGGCACGTTCTCGTATGGATGCACTAACAAAAGGTCAATCAGTAGAATCCCGGTTATTACCGATTATGCTCACCGTTGCTAGGAGTGCGTATTGGGTTGTAGCTTGGGTAGGCATGGATGGTTCCCCCCTGTTCCTTAACGCTCCTTGCCACGAGCAACAGAAACCCTGGCCAGGTCTATTTTTCAAAATAGATTCTCCTTCCGTCTCATTGAAGTTTCCATGCCAAGATTTTTGGTGGACATAGAGGGGAAAAGAGTTCGACTCTATACCCCTCTTTTTTATGCTCGCTTCACCATCAGTTAGCTGGAAAGTTTGGAAGGCGAGGGCCTTAGGTTAATTCCGTTAGCTTGGTTTCTGAAAGGACGAAAACCCGAATTGAGACGAATCAAAATTGCGAACTCAATTACTGCGGAATGGTTGTGTGAATTGAACAACAGACTGAGCAAGGAAAGGAAATTGGATTCTCTATTTCTTAAACATATCGTGACTGGCGCATGACCGACGTCAAACTCGATGGCGGAGGCAACTTGTTACGGACTTCGCCAGGGCTCGATCCCTGGTCTATCTTTTTGCTGTTTCAGCTACATCCCGTTTTCGGCCTGGCGCCCTTTTTCCAAACTCCTCCTTTGGTACCATAGGATTTCGGACAACTGGCGCCATGCTGCAATTCAGGCGCCACTTTTAATACTGCATTTTTCAGTTCTGCCCTCGGGGGCCTTTGCAGAAATGCCCCTGGTACCGTACGTGTCACCGGTACTTATACCGTCCCCCCGTACGGTACGGGGGCAGTCTCGTACAAGTTCTCTGCGGCTGTACTCGTACTCAGTGTGACTTGCTGTTTCGTTATTCGGAATCCAAGACTTCGACTTCGTGCCTTGCCACTATGTCTGCGTCCGACCCTCAGTCCGAGTCCGTCATGTCGAGTGAGTGAGTGTGTGTGTGTGCTCTCCCTCTCTCCCTCTCTCTCCTCTCCTTCGGC